CCTGTTTGAGTAAAACGCAAAATTTCTTGTGAGATGGACCCTCCTTTACCGCAATGGTAACCATTTCTCATCTCTCTAGACTTTGGATCTACCACCTGACTTTACATTGCCTTGGACCTCTACTTCTTTGCTACCGGCCCCTATTCTCTGTGACAAGGGGCTGAGAACTGTACTGGCAACATCTCTTCTTCGTAGTTCTTCATTTAAGTAGTCTATTCTTTACCCATAGACATCATTACCAACACCATTTGGAGCTAGAGTTATCAATGATACCACAAGAAGTATCCCAGCTATCCCGGTTAGAGATTTCGGTAGAGATCCCAACAGTAGGCATGCTTTCATCTCATCTTCTAAGGACATACCACCAACTGCTAACTCAGTTACAAGTCCTTCAAAATCGTTCAGGTATTGTGTAATTGATCGTCCCTCTGACAGCTTCAATTTCATGACTTTACGCATCATGAAAACTTTTCCTTGAGCATTTGTAGCCTCGTACATGTTCTCTAATTTCTTCCAGAGAACTTGAGGATCTTTTTCATTTCTTACGTGATTGTACAGACTAGCATCTATCCATTAGTGTATTGTACCCAAGGTCTGCTTTTTTAATTTCTCCCACTGCCTTTCTTTCATATCTTCCGGCTTTGCACTGTCACCTTCAATTGGATCGTACAGATCTATTGGATCGTCACAGATCTTTACAATTAAGGTTTAGTCCTCCGATTTCTGGATTTTCCCACATTGAATAATCGAATCCATCAATTTTGAGATTCGATTGTCCCCCTGTCGTTATTGCCCCATCATTAGCCATGTTGAATTCTGAATCTAATGAAATTCCACTATTCACGAAATTCACTATTCATGTGAATAGTAACTTTGACAGAATTAACTTCACGAAATTCACATTCGGGGTTGGATGGTACGCGCGGTCCCAACAAGTGGTATCAGAGCCCAGGTTTGGAGCGGAGCGGAGCGGACTGCGCAGTGTGAGAAAATTTCGATGTGTTGTTGTAACAACAGGACCAAGACCCGAAGAAGATCTGCAAGTGGTGCCTTGTGTCGAAAATCTTCCCGACAAGAGGAGGTCGGGCGGCGTGTCCAGCAAAGTTGTAGCGGCGGTACAAGATGGTGGGCAGATTAGGGACAAAAACTACTGAATATTTTCTATCCACTAAAAATAGTTAGGTACAAAGAGATTACAAATAGTGCACTTTAAGTGTTTCCAAAACACCCCAAATTACAATCCTCACTATGTTTCTCTTCCCAATTTTAGCAACCCTTTCGCTTAAAATATATAATCTTTGTTTTATGTTTTGTTTTTGTACATCTGTTAGGAGAATCCTTCTCCTTATTTAATAGGAGAAGGTTGCTGAGAGGATTTGAGAGAGACGGATCCACTTTTCCCTTTTCTTTCTTTCTTTGGCACCGTCCATTGAATAACAAACTAAACTTGCCTATATTTTTTTTTTCTTCATTCAAACGTGTGTGGGTCCCACACGTTTGAATCTCTTCTTTCTTCTCTCTTTTTTTTTTCAAATGTGTGTGGGTCCCATATGTTGGAGGACCCCACAACAAATATAGCATTTGGACTAACTTTTAGAAGTTAAGATAGCGTTACGTAAAAAATTAACTCATATAATATTTAAGTTATATTTGGTAATAGTTTTTTGAGTAACTTTTAGTCTAAACGCTATTTTTTATAGTATTCGATAATAAAGCGTTTAAATTAGCTTTTAGAGGTTTCTAGTCACATGTGTTGCACGTTGACAATGCTCATTGTAAATTACTTCTTTATACTCGTGTAATTATTTATTTATTTATATAATATTAAAGTACAAATTCTTATTTAGATTGTAATGCAATTAAGTGAAACCATGCGTTTTTTTATAAAAATGACAGATCAACAATTATCAGTTAGTTTGTTAGATTGTTGTTAGTCAATTTGTTACAAGTGCTGATCAGTTGGTTACAGGTGTTAAGTTGGATATATACCAGTTAATCAATTTGTTGCAATCAGTTTTATGTCATGATTGATCCTCAATAAGATTCTCTCAATTGTTTCTCGATTCTTCTTCTTCTCTCTTCTTCTTTCTCTATTATTTCTATTCTCAATTCTTAGAGTTTATCAACTGGTATCAGAGCCCGTAATCCTCGGCCATGGGTACTGATGGAATCACAACAAGAGCTCGAGAGGCTATTCGAAGGGAATTAGCTCTCTTAGTTACAGAATATGAACAAAGGCAAGAAGTGAGGTTATAGAGGGTTGCAAATCGTTAAAGATTAAGATTTTTCTAGAATACTCCTTAGTCTGTGGAGTAATTTATGGGTTATTTTGTTTTTTGATTGAAAAGGAATGCTTCCTCTTATCTCCACGTACTTTTATAATCTTTTATTTTGTATTAGTTAGGGAGCATATATGGCTGTGCTGGAATGTTTTGTAAGAATCTCTTATATATTGACTAATTAAAGGGAATTTCCATTCGTTTTTTGACCAAGTCCTACCAACTAAACAACTCTTCTCTCCTCTCCTTTATTTTTCAAAGTTATGAAAAACTAACAAAAACCCTTATTGCTAGTTTAAGCGATCAATAGATTGAGATTATGGGAAGAACTAGATCAGGTAATTCTCCAACTCATGTCACTGATAATACAACAGATCATAACACTTGTTATGCAATTTTTCTACCTATAGACAAATCAATGCAAATAATACCAAAACAATACAAATAAGAAGATATTAATTTCCTTTCCTATTTGGTATGCAATTTTTCTACTTTTAAGCATGTCTAATTAAAATCCCGGGGATTTAAATGTCATTGGATGTGGCAGGGGTGTTTTCGAAAAAACAGTATTTTAATAAACCAAAAAGTAATAATAATAAAAAATCACACCACTTCCAACTAGCATTTAATAACTGTCGGAAGAGAGAGTTGAGTAATCTTTTTTTTTTTCTGAAATACCCTTCCCGACTCTATAAATGACTAGTTTGAAGGGATATTTCAGTGAAGAAAAATTATATTTTCTATAAATAGCTAAATTATTCATTTGTGATTTTACAGATAATTCTCAGTTTATAATTCTCCCATCTTAATTATTATCAAAATTAACTTTTGAAATGAAGAAATCTTCTCTCCCACTCCCGGCCTCTTCCGAGGTTTTAGACTAGTGTACTCGTAGTAGTGAAAGAGTTAAAATTAGAGAGGATCAAAAATTTGTGCAGTAGCTGGAATAGGTAGTGATATAGTAGCTGGAATAGGTATTGACGATCATCCAGCAGAACCCAACTTTGAAGCAAAATGCAAATGTTCTTTTCGAGATGCAGTCATGCAAGAGTTTAGGTGAAGGATACTAATCATGATGATTAGGATGATGACACTAAGGTCTCAGAGGATGAATCTGAAGGAGAATCTAATTTAGGTGATGATCCTGAGTGTCCTACAATCTGAGTTTCTAAATTGGAGAAGGTAGTTTCATGTCAACCATGTAAACAAACTTTTATAGTTAAAGTATTGGGATGTTTGATTGGGTTTAACTTCCTTCACAAGAGACTTAAGACTTTACGGGCCTTGAAATCGCCACTTGATATGATTGATTTAGTCGATGGATATTTTATGCTACGATTCTCGAATCAAACTAAGTATGAACATATTCTCTTTGGGGGACCTTGGATGATGGCTGATCATTATCTCATTGTTCGCCAATGGCAACCTAATTATGATCCGTTACATGCTACTATTGATAGGACTATGGTATAAGTACATATTTCTAACCTCCCAATTGAATATTATGATAAGGGCTTCTTATTGAGGTTAGGAAGATTAGTATTCCCATTTGAGCAGATGAAACTACTTTGGATGCAACAAGGGGAAAGTATACCAAGCTCTATATGGAGGCTAAGTTTTCTAACCATTATTATTCAAGTTTAGGTTACCCATGTGTACAAAAACGATTGAATATGAAGGTATACATCAAATTTACCGAACTTGGGATATGAACGTATACATTCAAATTGTATTTTCCTTATGGGGTGCTATGGTCATATGAAGGAGTTTTGTTTCTTTAAATAGGCCTCATAGAAAACAAAGGTGGAGTTCAACCAGACATCAAGGACAATGCTCTCTCCAACTAGCTATGTTGATTATGTTACTTTTTCGGGCCACAAAAAATGACATTTGCTCTATTCCCTTGGCTGAGATAGTGAATAAGTTTGGCCTTGATGTTAGCGAATTTGGGCCTTAGATGTTAGCGAAGAAAGCAATAAAAGTTATTTTATAAACCGGGAAAAGATATGCTGGAAATCAGTATTTTTACATAAAAAAGAAGTCAATGTGTTTAATACTCCTAATGTTGTGCGGAAGCTATTATCGAGAATCAAGTAACTATTAGTGTTGCAGGATCTTGTTCTCCAATTTTAAATGATCAAAGTTTTAATAATGATTTAAATAATCAAAATGTTAATAATGATTTGGGGGTGATAATAGCATAGGTTTACCACACAAGTTATTACGGAGGGCCAATATAGACTTGCATCTAGTACTAAAACTTCGTTTGTTTTTGTAAAATAACTTGTATAAAAATATTTTCCACAATTTTCTGTTCTTTGAGAGCGTTCAGGAAAATAAGTAAATGGAAAATATTTTTCTAGTCAAAGGAAAATCAAGTCATTTTTAAGAAAAATGACTTTCCATCTTTAAGAGAATGAAATATTTTCCGAACATCAAGATAAAAATTACATCTAACATCTATAACTGACACAGACAAATTTGTGAATGTATATGCATACACATGCATCCATGAATGATGAATTTCTTATTTTATCCACTTTCTTTATCTGAAAGTCTTTAAGCATACTTTCTTTATCTGAAAGTATTTCAGCATACTTACCATATATAGTTTACTAGACTCACAGCAGTACCGAAGAATCAGCTCGGCTTTCTCAGTTGTGTAATTTAACAAGCACAGTGCTTGAATTTTGAATGAGCATCGTGGCTGAGCTGCTTCTATTTCTGGAAACAGTTTTCCAATTCTATCAACTAATTTCATTAATTCTGTGCACATCAAATGATGCACCTGCAAAGATGAATAAAATTAAGATAGCTTGAAAACAATAGAACTGAATCAAATGAAGGCTAAAACAAATACAGAAGAACAAAAAAAAGTGCAATTATAAAATTCCTTCACTAGATAAATCATCAACCATTTTCAGGAACCAGTTCATTCACCAGTCTCCAAAGTATGCCCATTCCTCTGTAACAGCACGCTAACTCACTCATTTGGCAGCAAAAGGAAAACATGCCATAAACAGTTAAAAGCAACAAGGCACAAGGTTTTTCATACTCATAAGTTCAAATTAGACAACAAAATCTCTACAACACCATAAAGGAAACATTTCAAAGGACATGTTTGGCTCACAAATCACCTCTGTAACAAAGAACATATTTTATTGTCAATCTACTCTAATTCATTCAGGAAGTACATTAATTAGATGCCAGAAACACGAAAGAAAACTAATAAAGTTTTAGATGCCAGAAACACGAAAGAAAACTAATAAAGTTTGATCTGCAGATATTCCATGTAAATTTTAACAATGCAGAATACAATTATACAGTATATTTGAAGTTAGATATTCCAGAAGTCCAAAATATATTGACTTGTGACACTATACCTTAAACGAAAAGAAGTATGGCAGTGATTCCACTACATCATCACCTTCATCCCCCATTCAAAGTGAAGAATGCAGGTTCTGCACATTAATTAAAGTAAAAGGTAAGGGATAGCTAAATAAAAGCATAACATATAACTAATTAAAAGATATTTATTATAAGAAAGAAATATCATATAACTACACTGACCTATAAGCAGCAAATATCAACAGCACTAGCAGTTAACAATAAATTTTGAGTTCAGATTTCCACAACTTATGATGCTAGTTTATGAATGAAAATCACAACAGACCCAGACAACAAAAAGATGCGCCCCACCCCCCCCCCCCCCCCGGGAGGAGGGTAGGGAACTAACTGCCTATGTTTATCAAGTTGAGAATTCTTAAGGTAGAAATAATCACCATTGGAAGACTCATAATTGTGTTGCTATCAGAATAAAATTTGAGAATTGAACGTTTGAAAAGATGAGGTGATGTTTGCCTAGATATGTCAAATTAGTGTATCCTGTTAAAAATAGCTTTAATATCTATTGTTCATAGAATTTGTTTGATAGGAATATACAATAATCGGAAGCGTACCTTGATCCATAACAGCAGATCTATGTTATGGATTACCTAGTTGCGGCAATTCGATTCTCACCGTAACAGCAGATTTGTATTTCTTCACTCTGATCTTTTGTCCGTAAGTTTTCTCTTAATAGTCAGAGAATTATCAACAGCTACGGGAGTTTTTTCACGGAGTTTATTTTCACGCTCTCTCAAAGAACCTATCACCGTACATGTTTGAGGTAGCCGTCACACTCTCTTTTTTTTTCTTTTTTTTCTTTTCCTTAACCCTAAGCTGTTGATTCCTTTATCTTTTATAAGGCAGAGGAAGGGTATTAAAACCCTAACTAGTCCTTATCCATTAAGCACAATAACCATCATCTTGGGTCACCTTAATTAGAATCAGTCCTTTAATTACATGAGCCACATATAGATTATTAAATAATCTAATATATCCCCCACCCTATCTTCCCCGTCCCAACAACAACGACAACAATCAAGTAAACAAGTGCATACACAAATAGATGGCTTAATTTATCCAGATAGACTTAGTCATCATAGGCCTTAATTTAAGACGCTTTTGAATAAAAAATAATCAATTAAACAAATAGCATACTCATACATCAGAGATCTTAAGCATTCCTAAAATTTTCTAAGGCCAACCCATTGGTTTCCTAGGCATGCATTTGGAAGAAAATGAAAAACTTCATGAAATCCATCTTATTAACTACCATACTTACGAATCATATAAGCGAAGGAGCAGAGAAACAATAAAAAACAAAAAGTAAAAGAGCCTCACCTGGTAATTTGAAAACACAACTACTATAAGAAGCACCTCCTCAGCTAATATGGAAGCAAGCTAATATGGAAGCAACAAAAAACACGAATTATTCCTTTCCTTAACAAAAGTTAGAACTTCAACCTCCAAGCTAGCAAAAACCGAATTCTTGAATCACAAAATTTCCCTCAAACACATTGGTTATTGGAATAAATGCAGATTCTTGGAAAATTCTTTAAGCTCAACTCTAAAACCAACAGAAGACCGTCCAAAGTGAACCCAACTAAGAGCAAAATTCAAGTTGCTAAAGCAAAGAGAAAGGAACAAGCCAAGAGAATCTTTATAGAAGCTGATGCTGCTGCTGCTAAACAATACACAGAATATATGCACATATGTCTTCTTTTTCATCTAAACCCAACTTGCAGAAGTTATTTTTATAGTATTTTTAATATAATTTTTATTAAGATTTTTAGTATTTTTAATTATTTTAATTAGTTTTTATTTAAGTTTTTATTTAGTTTTATTTATATTTTTGTATAAAACTTCCTTTAATCATATTTCACTTGATCTTGAGGAATTTTGTAGGATTTTTATAGGAAACCAGCTTAACTCCTATCTAGGCGCTGGAAGAGTCCTAATTGGGAAGAAATATAAAGCTTAAACAGTTTCCTATCTCTAAGATATATATTCCTCAATAAAAATTCACTTTCCTAAACGAACACGAAGATATTTCAAAAAGTTTATATAAATAGAGAGACTAGCCATTCATTGTATATTCCATCTCTTGTTCTATTATTTTCTACATAGTTCTCTCTCTCTCCAAGACTTCAAGCATTCAAGATTTGTGTCAAAGCCGTCCACCGTTATTTGTTGGCCTAGTTTTATTCTCTAAAACTCTTAATCTTTTTTCTTATTTCACTTATTTCAATTGTTATGAATTATTTCAAGTTTAATTGAGTTTATTTAAATTAACTATGTCGAAGCTAAAATTCTCATACTAGGATTGATGTTTTCTTAATTTCTTTTTCCAGTTATTAATATGATATGTTGCTTTTCTTTGTTTCAAGTTAATTTATTATTGAACTTAAATTACTTTCTAAGCAGAAGGTTTCTCTCCTGGATGATTTATTTCATTAATCCACTATCGGGAAGGTGGGTTTTGGGATACGAAAAAAAGGTAATAAATTACATGAGAAATAATAACTTATGTGGGAAGCTATATGGTTTGACTCATGGGGGTTTTCATAATCGGTTAACGACCTTAGTGTTATGAATTCATAAGGCAAACCATTAAACTTAATGATTTTAATCCATGTTTGATTGCGTTATTGGAGATAGGTAATTTAGGACCTAGGTAATTAGACCGGGTTAAAATAGCTAATAATACATCGGAAGAGCTTATTAGTGATTTTAGGGTTGTTTCCCGTACTTGAACAATTAAAATTGATTATCAAACTAATAAAATAAATTGGCTAGAATTAAGTGAAATCAAAATCTCTAGTAGCTTTTAATCATTGATTCCTTTTCATCGAATTGTCTTGTTTGATTTCTTTTTATTCTCTTTTACTTATTTAAATTTTTAAAATAATTTTCCTTATTGTCGTCTAAATAATAGTAAGTTAACACCATTTTGGAACTTGGTATACAATCCTTGTGGGACGATACTCTACTCATTCTTTATTACTTTTTTTTTTTTTTTTTTTTTTTTTTTTTTTAATTGTCTTGCTTGATTTCTTTTTATTCTCTTTTATTTCTTTTAATTTAATCTCTTAAAATAATTCTCCTTATTATCGTTTAAATAATAGTAGGTAAACACAATTTTGGTACTTGGTATACAATTTTCGTGGGAATGATACTCTACTTACTTTTTATTACTTGTCGCGATTTCGTGCACTTGCGAAAAATCACCGTCAAGTTTTTGGCGCTGTTGCCGGGAATGGTATTACCAATATCAATACTAATTACCCTATTATCAATTTAGACATTTTTTTTGTTAATTGAAATATTTGTTTATATTATTTGTGGTTTTTCTTTGTTTTTGTTGATTTTCTTTTTCATTATTTTCTTGCAAAGTATTTTGAGATGTATTATCGACAAATAGTTGCAAATTTTAATCAACAACACTTGGAGCCATTTTATGCCACTTGGACAAGATTTAATGAATTGCTAGAGAGATTTCCTCATCATAATTTTACAAATAAATATCTCACTTACATATTCTACTTTGGATTAGATGAAGAAACAAGAAGTTGGGTGGATAATGGATTTTCGGCAACCAGCATTCATCTTCTGGAAAGTAGCTATGAAGATGTATTTTACATGTTAAATGATATGGTAGATTTTGACTACCTTTGGCATTGGGATCCTTCACCGTCGGGTTGGAATCACCAATATCCTCCAAATTTTGAGTATGAAGAAGAAAAGCAGAAGAATTTAGAGGATTTGATTACTGCCCTTACTAAATCTCACATTGAATTTATCAATGAAACTCACGAGAGTTTTAAGATCTAACAAGCGGCAATAAAGAATTTGGAGGTACAAGCAGCAATAAAGAATTTGGAGGTACAAGCAGCAGAATTGATAATCATGGCAACTAATGGATATCAAGATGATGAGTGCAAAGTAAATTATGAGGAAACTTCATGGGAAATTGTGTGACATCCCAGGTTTGGGGCACAACACCTTAGGCGAATCCCACATCGGCTACGCACAAGGTGGAAGTCCTATATATAAAGGGTGGCAACCTTGAACACCTTGAACTAGGTGTGACGCGTTTTGGAGCTGCAGAGCGGAGGTTTCCCTGGCCCAGAAACAAAACCTGTGAGGGTGGTCAAGGCAGTTTTGGCACCCATAAGCAGACAATATCTAACCACTGCGGCTGGGCCGCGTTACAATTTTTGGTATCAGAGCCAAGCTAATGTCCTCTGGCCGGTTGGTGGGGCAAACCTCAGCAGGACGCTGAGTCCTAAAGGGGGGGTGTATGCTGACATCCCAGTTTGGGGCACAACACCTTTAGGCGAGCCCACATCGGTACGCACAAGGATGGACAGTCCTACATAAGAGTGCAACTTGAACTAGCCTGTGACGCGTTTTGGGCTGCAGAGCGGAGGTTTTCCCTGGCCAGAAACAAAACCGTTGAGAGTTCAGGCCAGGGTTTGAGCACCCAAAGCCGGACAATATCTACCATGGCGCTGGGCTAGTTACAAAATGCACTTTAGAAAGAAGTAAGCCTACATGTGAAGAATGGCAACTTATGTGAAGAATGCAACTCCTTTGAAGATGGATTAAATCTCACTTTCTTGTTTCCAGACATGATTATTAATGACCATGAAAAAGGTGAGGTACAGCTGGAAGGGACATTGGGTGAGAGTTTAAATGAAGACAAGCAACAAGCAATATTGGTGGATGAAAAAATAATTGAGACTATTGATTTGAGCTCATCAATGGTTTTTATACATACACCACCAGAAGATCCTTTCTTTCCAACCATACCACCTTCAATAAATTGTGTTTTCCATGATCTAATACAGTTTTTTTCCCCAAGTTCATCATTCTAAGTGAGATATTGTTGATAAGACGAGTATAAATTTTCTCAAACTAGCCAATCTTGAGGGCATTTTCAACCAAGACCCATGTGTGATATTACATGATACATACTATGGGCGAAAGCCGTTATTTGTTAACTTCTCAAAAGTCGAGTTTAAAGACTTTAAACAAAACGCTAATGGGAGGCAACCCATCATTTTCTTTCTTTTCCTTTGCAATTTTTTTATTATTATTTGCATTTTTTTTACTTTTTTTCCCATCTTTAAACCATTATTTTTCTTTTATTTTGGTGTTTTACACTCATGTTGCAGTTCAAGGAAGGATAAAAAAAGTCTTGAAAACTAATTGAAAGTGCTAGAATCAGACTCTAGCACGATCAGAGCGTGCTGTCCAGCACCCCCGTGCTGTTTTCAGAGAAAAATACCCCCAAAGTCAGGCTCTAGCATGGTCAGGGCATGCTATCCGGTACCCCCATGCTACACAGCACCCAAGGGGGTGCTGCAGATTTTTTTTTTTGAATGTTTTTTGTTTTTTGTCCTTTTATGCCTTAGAGCACGTGCCCACATCAATGTTTTGTTTTTTTTTATTTTTTTTTATTTTTTTTTTCCTTCTCTTTTATTTTTACGTACGTTCACTTTGCAGAATTTTTTTTTCTTCTTACGTTCACTTTTCTTAATTAATTATTTTTATACGAAATTTCCGTTCCATTTTTTTTATTATTTTTTTATTTTGATGTTTTTTTTTTCTTTCTTTCCTTAACAATTATATCTATATTATTATTATTATTATTTTATTATTATTATTATATATTATTATTTATTATTATTATTATTATTATTATTATTATTATTATTATTGTGGCATGTTGTTCTTTTCCATTTTCAGAATTTAGCCATTGGAACCATGTCCGTTGTTTCCTTGTCTTTTATTGTATTTTTCAATACAATGGTGGTAAGGTGTTTTCAACTTTATTTTTATTTTCTTACCTTGCATTGATGATTTATGATAAGGTTGAGAATTGGTCTTATTTTTGCACACATTGGAGACAATGTGCTAGATTATATTTGGGGAAGGAAAATTTTAGTTAAAATTTTAATTTTTTTAAATTATTTTGTTTGTTTGTTTTTATTAGCTTAATATGGTTGGAATAATTGTAAGCAAGCTTGAAAATTATCATAATTCATTAAATTGTGATGAATTTAGTTGTTCTTCGAAGTTTTCGGCTTAATTTTCATTTTTACCTTAACATGGTTCTGTGGTTTACTATTGGTGTTTCTTAAGATTATAACACTATTTTTTTGATTTCTATTTAGTTACTAGATTGTTTTAATCAAAAATTTAATCAAAATTTATTTAACCTTGGCATTACTAGAACAAATTAGAATTTCCTTTGAGGTAAAATTTTAAATGCTTACATTTAGAAAGAGATGATTTAGGCATTCTTTGTTGAACTTTATACTTAGCCCTGACTGCCTAAGTTAAAGTATGACCTTTTCAACCAATTCAAATCCTATAAACCATAAAATTTTCTTGT